TGAATATGTCAAAATGTGTCCCCCTGTATACTATGGTTGACGTGTTTTTTATTTTTCCTCCAGATCATCGTACCAAAAGTTATTCAGGATGGCTCGTTTCAAATGGGATGCACTGTATACGGGTTAACATTGTTAATTATTTCAGTTTATTGTATTCCTTTGAAACTGGCTTAAGGATCTAAACTGAAGTAAGGTTAGTTACAAATACAAGTGGTATAAAAACTTAGGAAGTATTATTTCTCACTTTTCATAAAAATGGAAACATTGCAAACTATCGATGGCAGTATCGTTTTTTTTGTTGGTGAAAACTAAGAAAGTAAAACAATAATGAAAACATACGATTCAAATACTAACGACAATGATTAGAATGGCATAATCTACTTACATCACCTAATTCTGATGGAGTAAAACTTGATAGATCACCCAGGGCGTTTTCCAAAAAAGTTTTTGGATCATATTCTGATGCACTCGTCGTTGAACCCTCTTGGCCGATATCAGAGGAAGTCAACGAATCATTCGGTTCCGTTGTAGTTTCAACGTTGAAATCATCTGTTGACTTCAAAAAGTCCAAATTCCTTTTCGGGACGTAATAGTTTGCGGCAAAAAATGGATACCTGTACTCTCCAACAGTTGGAAATTCGAATCTATTCCTTGTCTCACCACTTAGACTTGCAGGAGTGTCAGCTGGACTGAGGCTAGAAGGTGTGAATACTGAATAAGGCGAAGAGGAGCTCTCGCAGTCATCTTCAGACGTGCTCTGCTTCGACGATCTCCTCTTGTACATTCGACTGACGTAGTGGTTGATAACATTCTCGTATTTGTTCAGAATCATGCTTTGTATGATGAGTGAGTCAGGGTCAATATTTGCCTTCTTGAGCAGGGCCTTTCTTCCCATAATGGGTTGTTTTTGTTTGTTTGAATCTGGAAATCTCACTCCACCCTCTTTCTGGTGGGTAAATACGAGTTTTGATGAATTCTTATCATCTATTGGCGATTTTAATTTAGCTAGATCATTTACTAATTGGTTTTGGTCGATATTTGTGAGATTTATCTTGAGTTTGGGGAGTCGGTTTTCGTTTTCGTCACGTTCTTTACTTTCATGATCGTTTTGTAATTCTTTGGTATTGTTATTCAGTTTTTGTGACTGTTCTGTACATACGTTATAGTTGGATTTGAGGTCGTTTACTATATTACATACTGTTGTTTTTGGCACGGTTACCTCAGGAGTTGCAGGGTCACTTTTGGGATCGGTTGAGAATTTTAGGCTTGAAGTACCCATTGATATTGTCTTCGTCGAACGCTTCATTTTAGACTGTTTGGTAGAGGATCTGAAAAAAGTCTTTGTTATTCATTTTCTTGAAAATATGATTATTCCAAAAAAATAGTAGCTATCCCTATCCCTACTACTAGCAGGGGAGCCCACGATGCAAAATGGGGCTTTACTCGAGCGTCATTGAGACATATTAGGTTGCAAAGTTTAGATGATAAGAAGAAAAAAATGTTATATAATATATACCTTTTCATCGGTGGGGAAAGCGACTATAGATTATTAAATATGTAAAAAAATACTGTTGCATGGACATANTCAAAAAAATCTCATAATCTAGCTACTTTAACGTCATCTAGAATTCCAGTAATGAAGTTCCAACCCTTAGTACCATAATACCCGCTGCTTCAGGTTAGTTTAGGTTAGGTTAGGTTAGGAAAAACTTATAACACAGTCTACGAAAATATCCTAAATTAATAATCTTCATTTCATCTTTTAAAATTGTAAGAATTGAAAATCATTTATTTTTGTTACAGTGAAATATATGTTGAGCATATTTCAAATTTTCGAAACTTCATCGTATGTAATAATTTGAAAAAATTGATACTCCCAGACAAGCATTTAAATATAATTCTCATATTGATTAATTTCTATTGTACTGACACTTATTTAATGGCATAAATGCGAGTGAAGCCGCAGGTTTTTACCCGCTAGTATATCAATATATCATTGTTGGTTACTTTCGAAACAAGACAGTTGAATCAATTGTCGAGTGTGTCATTCAGAAAAGTCAGTGAATAAGTGGAAACTGGAAATCATATACTGTTATCATACATTTTTCCATCAATCACTCTCATAGTACCTAATCATAGCATTTACATATTTTATCAGGTTTATACTACTCCCAACGATTTTTCTATTTTTTATCTGATAAATACCGTCGATTACTGAGGAGAGTGGTGTGTTGACTGCTACCTAAAACCTTCCGAATTACCTATTATTTAGTTTTCAGTACATTTTTCAATGAAACCGTTCAACATAAAAATTTGAAAAGGATGTGAAAAAGATGCTCCTACGATTAGAAAGCCATGGCTCTATTCTAATCACAAAATGTTAAAAAGTTTTTGAACTATTAGAAAAAATCAAATTTCATTTTGTACTTTACAAAGGCTGTAATTTTTTTTTTGTGCAGATTTGGATTAAGGGGAGTCATTTTTTAACCCAGAATAAGTGGTTCAATTTATGACCTACTTTTTTGTTACACCTTGTATATCGGAAAACTGATTTTTGTAGATCCTGACAGCTGTTTATGTTTAACTATTTTCGTAGAATCATTGCGTGTTTCTCTCGATTGGGAAACTGATACGAACAATTCTAAAACAAGATTGTTTCAGCATAAAATGTCATTTTTTCAACAGTTGAAGTTTTTATCCATAAACCTTTTTAAATTGTTGGTGATTCAGAAATTTACGAAAAATTATGAAATAAACATTTCATTTGGTGATAAATCAATTATAATCTAAATATCTAACTTGATTAATAAAAAATAAGAGACAGTTTTATTAGAAAATCAACGGGAACCACCTCTTACTCATGAAATAATACCCTAAATGCAGTAAATCCTTCACCGATGAAGACCTAACTGAAAATTATTAAATGACATCATTATTGATCCAAATTTTTCAACAAAATGATGAACTTCATAATTCCCAATTTTTCCCCATATAACTCTTCCTGTTTTTGATAACCCCATGCATCAATTCGCTTTTCTCACACTCGCTGTAGGAAAATATATAATAAAATTGTCAGAAATACTCACTGGGAAACTCTATACTGTTTAAAAAACCATTCTTGCTGAATCTGCAATAAATGTATTGGAGGCCTATTTTATTTTATGGGACTGCGGCTATCCTTATTGTCACGTATTGTTCTCAGCAATTCGGAACCGGATATTGAAGTTCATTGATAGCTAAACACAGCATACTTTTTAGTAAATAACCTATTCATGAACTGAAACTATTTACAATGATTCATCAGTTACCTTCTTATCTATGCTGTCACAACCGTTTTGTTAAATCGGAACTTGAATGGAATAATGTATACTTTTTCATAATGGACAATCCACCTGAACTCTGTTGTGGAAGCGTACTAGATCACAGCAGAAGGTATAGTCTAGTTCGAGAGTGCCATTTTATGAAATTTAGTTCGCCTTTTCAGAAAATCATTATTGAAGTGTCATTCGATACGTCATTCTATCCAGCCTAGTTTAAGAATTGAGTAATGCTACGTAAACACATAGTTTAGTTTAAACGTTATAAAAAAATTGAGCTAATGACAAAAAAACAGTTCTTTCTTACGGATATCTCAGTCTCTTGCACTTATCAAAATTTGAAAAAAGGACCTTTGAAGAGCAGAACATTTCATGGAAAAAGTCATACCTTAAAAAATTGTAGCAACATGATTTATAGTTTCGATTGAGCGGTGAAAATACAGGTAAAAACTTGGCTCTCCAACAAAAATGTTTTTCCATTAACTATGTTTTTTTGAGTTATACTTTTTTTAGCTGAAATTTCATATTAAAGCCTTGATAATTTTCAAAATATAAGCCTGTAGTTTTTCTTTTTTGAAGATATTTTTTGAAAGCTTGGAAAAAGGTCTTCGCAGAAAAAATTAAAAAATATACAGGGTGTTCCTTAAACACATGCTAAACACATGCTAAAACATATGCTTAGACCCATTTTAAGAAAAAAACTTCCTATGGACGTATGTCCTAAACGCCTTAACTTTTGAGATACAGGGTGGCAAAGTTTTCAAAAATAATCAGTTTTTTAATAATAACTGAGATAATTTTGTAGACATCTTTGGCATATTTGGTACATATGTTCCATGCCTCAAGGCGCATTTTCTGATGTACA